GTTAATGATTCTACAGAAAGTACACCACGTGTCTCGATGGAGGAAATTTCTAGTATCGTGCGCAACTTAGATTTGGGTAAATCATGTGGTTCGGATTGTCTTAGTGCCGAGCATTTTAAATTTGCTAGTCCTGCACTTATTCTGCACCTAGCCATGTGTATTTCTGCAATGTTTTGTCATGGATCTGTTCCGGATAACATGATAAAAGTTGTTATTGTGCCACTAATTAAGAATAAAGCTGGTGATGTGACTAGTTTAGAATAATTATCGCCCGATTGCGATAACCAACGTCATTTACAAAATTGTTGAGCATATAATGATGTCTAGATGCCAGGAGTTTATTCTCCTAACTGACAATCAGTTTGGATTTAGAAAAAAACATTCAACGGATCTGTGTGTATTTCTGTTAAAAGAAGCAGTACTTCATTATAATTCGCTCGGTAGTCACGTGTTTGTCTGTTTCCTTGACGCTTCAAAGTCATTTGACAAAGTCAATCACTGGACACTATTTTACAAATTGACTGAACGTAATGTACTTATATATATGGTTCGCTTTTTAATGAATTGGTATCAACATCAAAAATATTGTGTTAAATGGGGGAATGCTATATCCCGTTAATTCTGTGTATCTAACGGAGTACGCCAAGGCGGTGTTATGTCGCCAATGTGTATATTAATAATCTGAATATCCAACTGAATGATAGTCCGAGTGGGTGTCTAGTTGGTGATAAGTTGCTCAACAATCTCAGTTATGCTGATGATATGTGTGTGCTATCGCCCTCTATTAAGAGGTTAAGACGACTTTTTCGAAATATGTGGTCGCTTTGCGCATGACCATGATATCATTTATGATGTCACTAAATCTAAATGTATGTGTTTTTATAGTCGACACAGTGTTTTCGAAATACCACCAGTATATTTGTCGGGACAGCCAATGTAATTACATATCTTGGTCACAAGCATACTAGTGATTTGAAGGAGAACACTGATATGGATCATCAGAAATGTCTATTTTGCATCAAGGCTAATCTTCTATTACGGAAATTTTCAAAATGCAGCTATGAGGTCAAACTTTTGTTATTTAAAACTTTTTGTTATAACTTTTTCTGCTGTCAACTATGGTGCTCCTTTCGGAAGACGAACCTTAATGCTTTGCGTGTATTTTATAATAACTTGTTTCGCCGCTTTTTTCATTACCCATGTGATTATAGTGTAAATCATATGTTTGTATACAATCATGTCAAGTCTTTTTACGAAATTTTTAGAAATCTTGTATTTAAATTTAGAGAGCGTATATACACCTCTGATAACAGTCTGTTGGTGAGCTTATGTAACTCTGATGTCAGTTGGAAGTCTGCCTTGTTCCAGCATTGGAATAATATTTTGTACTATTAACGTTGCCATACGCACACTGACCTATATACATATATTTGTTGTTCATTTATTTATTTATTTTTCATACTAGTTTTATATGGACTTTCAAATGCTTGACAGTCTGAAATAAAGATAAATAATAATATGTATGGGCTTTGAATACGAACACAACGTTGAGCACCATCAATAAGGTTTGATTGATAAACCTTATTGATGGCGCAGAACGTTATGTTGCATAAAACGTAATTTTCCATTGACCTCACTATGATGACACATGCGTTATGCGTTTTATTTGATAAAGTTTTTTTGCTTGCTATTTGCTTTATTTGGATTTATTTGCAGGTATCCAGTCAAATATTGGCATGAAATATGTTACACTACTACAAAGTAAGATTACATTGAATCAAGTTTTTGTTTTGTCGCCTATGATGTATTACAGTTTATTAACAATAACATAAGGGTTCAGCACTAATTAAGCCTTCTAATCACGCAACGAAAAGTCTAAAATTACTTGTCATATTCAGCAATATTTATGTCGTTAATGTATGTCGTTAATATTACTTGAAGAGAATGTATAATAACCTAAATGTTATACAGATTTATAAGTCGAAATCCGAAATCTCTTGGCTTCATAAAACGATATGCAAATGAGCATGCAATACTCAGAATGGGGCAATTATTCTTCACCATTACATGATTTATATTCACTCATGCCACGTGTTTCTAAATGTAACTCATTTTTATAAATAATTTAGTAACACAATTGACACACTATAAACAGTAACATCACACACGCAATGAAGATTTTCCGTAACATCACAAAGTCCGCTTCTGATGCCACTATCTACAAGAGTGTTAGTAGGCTGTTGTGCAAATTAAAACTACAGACTACTAATGTATTTGTTGT